TCGTTATCCTTATCAGAATTGGCGTCATCATCTTGACTATTACACTAATCCGCATTGTAATCAATGACATCATCATTATCCTGGTCTCTGTCATCATCATCATCATCATTTCTACTTTGCGTTCAAAGATGGGAATAACTGGTGTTCCAGCACTCGATTGGGTCTCACCGGTTTCTGCCATTCTGTGTGAAGTTACAATGTTTCTTGTATCCTTAATCAGTCTTCTTCATGGGCACTTATAGATGTTGCGCTTTTATTGGCACCTGATGTTGCTGACAAAATGTCCAAACCATTTGATCTTCTGCTTAAAGGTTTTGCATCATATTATGCCCACTATGGCCAGCCTTTTTTCACATATCATTTGATCGCTTTTTGTCAGCGTCACATAAAACACAAATATGTGTAACTCTAGCGAACAATCCCAGTAATCACCTACACTCGCAAACTGAATTACGAAGACCCAAATCAAACCCACAACCTTTAGAGCTCAAAACAAACGACTTGATCCCTTCGCAACGGGGATACAATAATTTTCTGTAATTTCACACCATTCTCGAGAAATTACTGTAGAAGTATTCCTGTGTGTTTCAGGTCTTCTTCTTATAATCCAAACCGTGTGGCGCTGGAATCATGTCTGTAAACAACCCTCTATTGATAGTTTGGATATAGATTGTTTCTTCGTGTCACATTATAAAACTGAAATCTTCTCTGCGTTCCCCTCCCGTTTCCCCCTTCTCTAAACCCAGGGTTTCTCTTCCACTCTACAATACATCCTGGTTGTCGTGACATATCCCAGTGATCCCGTTTTCATCACGTGCCTTACAATTGGAGTTGTCAGTTTCTGAATGCCGGTAAACGGTTTTTCTTTCTGAGGTAATTTATTTCCAGAAATTTTCATTATGCTTTTTATCTTTCCTTGGGTTTTTTATTTTATATATGACATAAATCCATGTCACAGGAGGTTAAAAAAAAAAAGAATTGTCGAACGCTATATAGAACCAATTTTAACATAAAGCTGTGAATCCTGGACAGTTCAAACATATCTAAACAATGCTGACTCACACATTACATTTATATATAATATACATGTGTGTGTGTGTGCGCGTGTGTGTGTGTGTGTGTGTGAATAGCAAGTGACTTGGTTAATGTTTACCCTTCTATGGCCGTTCACAGCTATACTGATTTTATATCCACAGGGCGCCTACGACTGGCACACAATATCTCTTATTTACGAAGACGGCACACTGCTGTTTAGAGTCGACGAGCAACCTTGTATTATTTCTCAGGACTTTTCTGGTAAAAAGATTTCTTGCAACATAACCATTGCAATGTCTCACATTTGTTGCTGTCTGTATCGCATTATTTACTATTCATTGCAATGCTCAGTGTACAAAGGAAATGAAAAAAAGCTTTTTCATAAAGGGTTACAAAGTGGGCACACAAGCCCGTCTTACATTCGGCCCTTTCAGACACTCATCTTTCACCCTGAAATTGTGTTTCATGTATCTTATTCTTCTTCTTCTTCACTTCCTCTTTTACCTCTGTGGGTGTCGAGGGAGATATAAGGTTCTGTTTCTAGCTCTTCTGGCTGCCTCGACCATAGGCACATCGTGCTGTTGTAGAGTTTCTCTGATGTTATCCTTCCATCTTGTTCTTGGTCTATCCGGTGCTCTACGGCCTTCTTCTCAGTCCGTTTATATCTCATTTTGATTTCCATTGCCGGCTTGCTAGGCCTGTCGCAACTTCACCAGAGCCCCGTTGGCCAGGACGTTTCGGGGTGACCCAGGGTGGCCTTCATGGCTACCGTAGCGGTCCCGTGGCACGAGGCCACACCATACTTCGCCCATGTATTTCATGTATCAAGACGTTTATTTATCAAGATTCATAGTATGAATGTAAATTAAAAATGTAGGTCAAGGTGTGGGTCAAGCAGGTAAGAGATCCTTTTTTGGGTTAGTGGCATATGATGCTAGACACATATTTGAATAGAATACTCGGCACTTAGTAGATGATCTGGTCAACATCTTGCCGCTGTTACTTTCCAGGAAATTACCTGTTACCCTTTTAGTCGACAGGAGCACAGGTCTGTTTTGATGAACAAATCCGCCTCGAGGCGATCTGGAATTGCTCAGTGTGATTCAATAATAAAACGGGCTGGTTTCATTCACTGGTGATAAGCATGGTACGAAACTCAGTGGCTTATTTGTGATACAATTTAGATGATTGTAGCTCAGGAAATCTAGTAATTCTGTTATCTCATATAAGTGAGTCACCCTTTTCTTTCTTATAATTATGAGAAGGAGAAAACTGGAATACGTTGTGACAGTATTAAAGTTGAAGGGGAGGAGAGGTAGAAGGAGACCAAGACAACAGATGCTGGACAGTCTGACATCATGGCATGGAGGATCATCTGTGTCAGAGTTGATTGAAAGTACACGAGACAGAACATTGTGGATGGACATGACTACAAACCTTACACGTTACGAACTTTAAAAAGAAGAAGAAGAAGCCATAATTTATGTGTCTCATATATTTTTATTATACTATTCCATGTAACTCTGCCGTGACTGTATCATATAACTATTTAACTGTCTCATATAAATGACTATTGTGTATATAACTCAGTATCTGTCTGTAATCTATTACACTTGTTATATTTACATCGGCTTTTAATTTAATGATTATATAGCTCGAAAAGATGTAACGAACATTTTTCACGACTTTAAGTGCTTGACATATAGTGCTGGCTTGACATATAGTGCACACGCAACACTAAGGTTCTGGAGCTGGACTGCAGTTCAGTAGTGGACGAGCAACCAGAACTTTTCGCCAGAGTGTACAGCTGGTGAACGCGAAGAAGAAGAAGTGCTAGCCAGAAAGTTGTATAGAACAATCGGCACTCGTACACCAACAGTAGCCCCACTGCCTCTACTTCCCAGAACACGTCATAGAACCCCTGTTTTGACTGCGTCGACCAGTAAACCCACTTTGAAGTTTTTCTCTTTTTTTATATACACCTTTGTAAGAACTACAGACCAGCAACTGGTAGGCAAACGGGCAAGCCGCTGTGCTAATGCGGTTCCTTGTGGAGGGAAGGCTTTGATAACATTTGACCATTCACGTTTCCACCAGTCCAGTTAACTTCCAGTCTAGTCGACTTCATTGCATCTGGTTTTATCCCATATGGCTCGATGTCTGTCTCTCCGCAGAACAGCTTTCTTCCTGCCAAAAGCGTCGCACGAACACGGTAGCCCAGGTGACGATCCACCGGGGTCTTCGTAAACATTAAAATTGAGAATCCAACGACGCAGCCATGAAGTAAACCCACGACCTACTTAGTAAGGAAAGCAGTTCGGCCACGTTGCCATGGAGACCGTAAGGACATGTGGTTGGCTCCTTTCCACACGACAGTGCTCCGTTGTGCTGAAGAAAGGCGTGAAAATCGTTGTCCCACCCAGTTAGGACAAGGATAAAGCTGCTGTAGAAACTTGCGGATCAGAAGAGCTGTGCTATGTTTGTCCACCTGCACTGAGGACATAAAAAGAAACTCCACAGGGGAGCATGTACTGCAGGAGTCTACCAATCATCAGTAGAAGTGATCCCTCGTCGACGAATGTTTCTGCCCACGAGCTCCTTGACATTTTCGGAGGGTGGGCCCACCTGAGTTCATGAAGCTCAGGGTTGATCTGCTCCTGCTGCACATATTACCGGATGTTCTCGGACAGGGACAAGACGAAATTGGTGACTCTGCAAAAGGTACTGTGAGATTCAAAATTTACATTTTCGCAGCGGTAGCATAATTAGAGTAGTTAGGCATACCTGGACGACCAAATGGCAAGCTTACGGTTGGTTTATCGGACACATGTTAGACGTTGTTGGCAAATGGCAGAAGGACACCGACAGACAATTAGGACACGATGGACTTTAGGGAATAAGGCTTTCTTTTCCACAAGATACCCGGACCAGCTCACCGAGGCCAGTCACATACGACGTTTCGTTGTGTCCAGAGCCAGCTCGAGGCCCTTTCAACAGCCTCGGCCCAGTTGTTTTATTGGTCGTTTGCGCTAATTTCCTCGCAAGCCCAGCTGTTTTATCACACTGTACATAGAAGTGAAAACGAGACCTCTTGAGCCTACCTTGACGGCGAAGATTCTTACTGTGTACGCTTTGTCTCTCTTCAGATCGGCCGCCAGGTCATTGTATTTCTCGAGCTTTTACATATGATTTTCATCCATTCGCTGCTCATACGGCAAGGTCAGCTCGATCAGGATGAGCTGACGTTTCTCCGCAAAGTGTAGGACTACGTCAGGTCGCAGGCCTGTCTTCCGGATTAACTCTGGATACTTTTCGTGACCAGGTCAACCACCAATAGCCAGTCCCTCGCACAGTCAAGCATCGATGGAGCGTATGCGACCTTGTTGAATTTACCTTTATAAATTATAACACAATATACATCGCTATGCAGATCTTAGTGTTACATGCAACTAGGGACATAACATTTGTCCTAATTCAGACTGCATGGTGTCTTCGTTTAGGAATCTATCCATTAACCGAATTTAAATTTCAACGGATCATTAAAAAAATATCATAACAATTATCTTGACAATCACCAGATGCTTTTAAAACGTGTTCATATTCTTGACAATTTTCTCTCCGCCTATGGGTTCCAGGGCCCCACTGCCTAAAAAAAAAAATGAAAAAAACTATGTCATATGTGTAAAATAATTGGAGGCTTCTTTAGAAGTTCGAGAGCATCTGCCCTGGCGGCAAAGAACAACCAGCTGCGCGCAGATAAGCCAGTAAAACGGATGTACACGCAAAACTCAGACTCTGGCACAAAGCCAAGGTCCAAAAGGACGAACAACCAGGACTTTCCGTCGGATCTTATAGCCCGTGGAAAAATAAGAAGATACATTTTCCCAGTAAATAATGTTTTACGTTGGCTTAGTCAGTCCTATAGTTATATGTACACTGTTCTACAGGACCTGTACAGAAGACACCTTGCCCTCTGACCATCGGAGCAGACCCATTGGAGAGGGAATCCATGTATAAAGGTTATCTAGACAACGTAAGTGTTTTACTCACTTTTACACATTAATGCTGGAAACACAACAGATATATGTTAACTGTCTGCACGACCAACGTACCTTTATATTATTTTATCTTGTGACTGTACCTTAATAACATTGTCCCCATGTGGGACACAATTTGTGGTTATTTGAAGCCCTCCCCTGGCTGTTGATGGGACCCTAATATAACCCAACCTGTGGGTTGAACGGGGTTTCTAGGACTTTTTTTCCCGGGTGATCCTTATCCGAATGGTGGCAATATGTGAAGTGTGAATCGCTCGGTATGATATCCCAGTGGGGTAAAATGTCGATGGTAGCTTCTCTCTACGAGTAATAAGCAGTATAATGCATTATATATTCCCGAATCTGTATATCATCTAGCTTCAAAGAAGATTTAAAAAAAAAAACAAAAGATAGTGCCTTGCTTTCGTGGTGTGAATTAAAATAATAGGTATGCAAACAATAAACTGCATATATTGCGTAATGTAGAGCCTGGTATAATTTGTGTTTCGCTATTATGCAAATAAAAAATGCTTGCTGGTTATAGTACATTCCAGAAGTCATAACTAACTCTAAAAAGAGCAGTAACTTAGTAACCGTTGGGTGTAAATTGTTGAAATTAGGCACTTTTAAAAAAAAAAGTTAAGTTCCCTTTTCACGCCTATTGGCGCATCGGCCATATGGTCAGAGCGTCCCATATTTTACAAACCATCAGCACTCTGTGGGTAATGTGGTCGGCATTACGCCGGCTGTCTTTACTTTCCCAGGACAGCCCATCCTGGTACCCATTTGAGGCTGGGTCGACCTGCGACGTCCCATACCACGACAAAAATCCACGCAGCCTGCAGCGGGTTTCGATCGCGGTATGCTGGCTTACGAGTCGGACTCGCAACGCCTTAGCCACGGACGCCGCACTTAACCTGTCATTAATAGTTCCTTTCTGAGAAATTATTTTGAAATTCAAACTAGTATCTCATGTTCATTTCGCTTTATTTGCGGTATATGGAAAAAAAAATCACCATGCTTATAATTTTTAAAAACGAAAACTTTTCAAAACATCAAAATGCACACGTTTTATAGGCGTTTCACTCTCAGTTGATCATCTCCAAAATTAGCCTCCAGTGTGTTCTATGAACACAGTTCTTTTATTGTATGCGGGATATGTTGTCAGAATAATCTCCACGCCTTTACTAAGTTAATAATTTGCTGTGTGATTTCATAGCGTCCAATTAATTTCCAGAGAGATTCCCTATTAATGCTGTCAAATGATTTTTGATAATCTAAGAATCTAATGTAAAGTGGTGAGTTCAGTTAATGCTTTGCTCTATTATTATACGTAATGTGGCTATCTGGTCATTACAGGATCTGACTATAAACTATTACACCGTATTTACATTTCCACATGTAGGTTCGGGTGCAACATTGTTGGACTGAAAGAGAAGACCCAATGTCTAAGTATGTCGTAAGAGTAGACTAATTAGCGGTTTCTTTCTAAGTCGGAATGCATCTCCCTGGAATAAAAGGAACCAGGAGTCTGTGCACATATAAGAGGGATCTGTAAAATAGATTAGCACTCAGAACTAAATTTCTGAAACAAGATTAAAGCCTAGAAGTGGACCAGGGACCGTCAGCCAGAGTTTACAGCATGCTGAGCGCAAAGAAGAAGAAGAAGAAGAAGAAGAAGAAGAAGAAGAAGAAGAAGAAGAAGAAGAAGAAGAAGAAGAAGAAGAAGAAGAAGAAGAAGAAGAAGAAGAAGAAGAAAAACAACAACAACAACAACAACGACAACAACAACAACAACAACAACAACAACAACAACAACAACAACAACAAGAAGATTTACACCCATAACATGTTCATAATAATAATGATGATGATAATACTAATAATAATAATATAAAGTACTGATATATCACAATATTAGATAATTATGCGTGTTCTCTTTTCCAGCTATTGATTGCTCGCTACTGCCGAAGATTCATAGACACCGACCCAAACGGATCAAACGACAAAACCAAGGGCCCAATGCCGGTAGAGACCGCGCCGACGGTTTCAGAGTTCTCATTTCAACAGATAAGACCCAAATCAGACAGACAAAGCTCTCGCCCCGTCTCGAGCAGAAAACAGCGCGCCGTTACCAGCACAAAATATCTCCCACAACTCCCAAGAATACTCAAGTCAGGTGTCCAAAGTGTGGAACCAAGAGCTGAAACTGGCGACTTTCTGGAGACATCAATGGGTGCTGAGGAAAAAACGCATAGCTTTCTTAGATTTCCTAGATCAGGTGATGAAAGCCACGACTCCTTTCAGGGAGAAACATCGGAACAGGAACAAGGAAATCAGTTTACTAGACATGACACAACAAATGATCAGGAGGGTGATTACAATCAAGAGAAACAAGACGGAGAATCTGATAATTTCGACAGTTTAGATGTAAACAGTAAACAAGATAATAATTATGGTACACACGTGAAGACACAAGAACAAGCAGATACTGGGCGTGCAAAATCCAAAAAGAATGCTGATTCAAGGAAAGGAAACAATAATTTTGCAAAGATTGTAGGTAAATCAAGGGAACAGTCTTCTGAGACTGATGAAGCAACAAGCCAATCCAGTGATACGAGACATACAACCAGACAAACTAACAGCAATAAGAAATATAGAAAAGTTGAAGAAAATGATAGTCATTTTCAACATTCAAAACAAACTGGCAGAAAAGGTCAAAGGTATACACATGCAAACAGCAATGATGCATCTACAAGCAGCACTGAAAATAACGAAGAGGAGAAACGTCCGGTGAATGCCCAAGAGGATGAGAACCAGGATTATCAAGGTAATGACAATCCTAAAGAGAATGGGAAACATAGAAACAAAGAACAGCCAAGAAACGATTGGTTTCCTTTAAACAACAGACGTGGAGGTAAATATGAATCCAATAACACGGACAAGAAAAGAAAGGTTGTTACGTCAAGGGAAAATAGAAAAGAAGAAAATGGTAATACTTCCAGGGGTTATAAAAAGGCAGAAGGAAAATCTGAAGGTATGGAGAGATTTAAAAGGACTGATGAATCAGAAGGAAATGTCAAAAAATCTGGTAGAACAAGCAGTAATTATGAAAGAAATGGTCGGAGAGATGTGCAGAAAACACATGAATATGACAGCAACATTAAGAAGGTAGTAAACATAAATGATGATGATGAATTGTCTGATGGTAATGGAAAAAGCAAAAATAATAAACAAGGAAACAGTGCTGGGTATAGAAAGAACGATGCGTCTGAAAAGCCTGACAGTTTTGATGGTTATAACAAAGAAAGAGATTTTAATAATGAAAGGAATAATGGTTTCAAGAGTTATTCAGAAAACACATGGAAGGATGATGATAATGTCGACACCTATAGTATAGAAAAAACGAAAGAGGAAGGCGAGATCACAGACAGCAATGAAGATTATGACTACTCTCAGCAAACTAACGGTGGGGGTCATGAGGTAGAGAAGAAAAGAATGGGCCGAACCAACAGGGATAAGCCACATGATAAACGAAAAGAAAAGAAAAAGGAAGGAAGTCGACATGTTAGAGTACACACTGAACAACGGCAATTGTACAAAGGTAATGCTCGTGAAAAAGAAGTTTCAAATTTGGGCACACAAGAAAAAGAACCTAGCGAATCAGGTGTATATTTTGACAGCTTCGAAGGGAATAAGAAAGAGAGATATGATTCAGATTTCCGTAGCAATGCTGAACCAAAGCTAACCAGCAAAATGGCTGCAATGAATGAGGACAAGTATGTTAAACTTGGTGTTTCGAACACACATGACGCACTGGAAGATAGAATATGGAATAACGACAAGAAATTCAAAGATTCGGAAGAAGAAGATTCAAACGTGGGTCAAAACTTAGCTAAGAGTCGCCCAATAAGACATGACAGAGGGGGCATTTCAAAACTAGACAACCAACAAATCATTGCTGAAACTAGCTCAGGGAAAGAAACGAATTTTGACACAAGCTCTAGGGAGACTGTTTCCAATTTAGTTAAAGGCAGGCGGAGATCTGGTAGTAAAAAGAAGAACTGGTATGACAAAACTGATGTTGCAAGAAGTAGGCATCAGGAGTCTTTGAATTCTGATGAGCAAAAACCTCTGGTAGAGCAGAATAAGAAGCCAGTTTCAGCGCAAAGAGCAGTAGACACGGAAAATAAGAGGTCGGGTAAAGTGGAAATTGTGTATTCCGATATACACAATATCGAGTATGACCAGTCAATCACAGATGATAAACATTCAGATCCTCCAAAGTCCAAGAACGAGAAATTCGACCATCAAAGCATCCACACATTTGATAATCCCGATAATATCAACTTTGGGAAAGTATTACGAAAACCAGCAGCTCATGGTTTCATTGTTAAAGATTATATTGAGAACTACGAAGAGGACGACGAACTGGACCAAAGAGCTCAAGCAGACGATAATGGGCGTGTATCACATGAATCTACAGATAAGACAACAAAGTCAGCCAAAGACCCGGCTCAGCAAGCTAGCAACAGTGGTCAGATTTTGCCAAAATCCAAAAATCTAGAGCCGGTTAAAACTCTGACAAATGACCAGAAAAACAAGAATACGAAAGGCAATGAACAAGTCAAAGACAAAGGAGAATCACACAATGAAGAGAAAAACACATCTTTGTCTACTCAAAAAGACGAACAAGAGCCGGAAGTGGCGTCAGACAATCACTTTAACATGCCCGTAGATGTTACCAAGATAGCAAGCTCAAGATCTGCCCTTGTGGCCAGTAATATCTCACAAGAAAGAACTCCCAACCTGGCAGATCCCACGAAACAAAGTCCTGCTCCAATAGAAACGGGCAAGCTATTATAGGTCCACTAGCTGACTGGACACTGTAAATAGAAATCCTACACTATCATAAGCAGCATCTCGAGTTTGCTGCTGGTATACACAGACATGCCGACCCATTTATTGTTGTTATACTGATGTCGTTAATTAGCGTAGCATTATCATGTTAGTTGTTCACAAATAATTCTTAAAGTCGCTACTATCCACAAACATATATAGCTTTTCGCTTGTATACAAAGACACGCCAAAAAGTTATCGTTATACTCTTGTTTATTGTCGTCAGTTGTTCACACATAATTCTTAAAGTAGCTAACAACCGCACACAACAGCTATAGCTTTTCGCTTGTATATCAAGACCTGCCACACCGTTGTCGTTAAACAGTTGTTTATTGTCGTTAGTTGTTTAGACATAGTTCTGAAAATAGCTACTAACCACATAAAATAGATACAGCTTTTCGCTTATAAAAAGACATGCCAAACCTCTTTCGTCTATTGTCTGTTTCTTCAAGTACCTATTAACGGCATACAACAGATATAACTTTTCGCTTGTATACAAACACACGACATGCTATTTACTACCACACTTGGTGTTCACTTTCGCCAGTTTTTCACAAATTACTCTTTGGAAAAAAAAAAAAAATACATCTCCACTATTCCCAAATAAGATGACAGTCACTGACTGAGTCGTCGAAAGCAATTGACTTTTAAACTGTATGCTATGAAAGATAGCTTGGAGTGAAGTTTAAAATACTGTTTTGCTTTATTTTGCTGATCCTTGTATCTAGCTAATCAAAGTTTGTTGACGACAATTGTTTTTTGTTTTTGTTTTTTTGTTACTTTGGTTGAGGAGTCTTGACGTACCCATCAGATGTTACTTTAGCTCAATATATCCTTGAAGTTGTCAGGTTAAGTAACTGTGAACAGGCAGGTCCCAGGGAATTAATTCGCTTGTAGCCGATGTGAAATTAAAGATGTCACATGCTGATTTATATTTGCCAATTTAGTGTCATAAACGATTATATTCCATGGAAAATAAAACAAGCTTTAATTTAATTTTCGTTAAGGTGAAAAAAATAGTGGGGGGGGGGGGGAAGAGGAGGATGAGTGGTGGGTTACACAATTTTATACAGCTTCTTTAATATGTGCATTAGAATTTATTTTTGACCCTAACAGTTAATTTCATGTCAATTACATCAAGGATATGCTACCAGAATGGGGAAGTCAGAAAACAGAGTTAGGCAGAAGGCCAAAGAAGATTGATTCTTCTTTTTCTTCCTTCGTTCACTTGAAATAGATTATCTTTGTCTGCAATGTTGTCTTCAGTATAAACTTCACTGTCTGTTGTAATTCAGTCAGCCACCCGAAAATTTTGGCTTGCAGTGGTGTTTCTCTTGGCCAAAAGTTTGCCCTGATATGTTGTATTTGGGACAGTCTTGGATGACGTGATCTGTTGTCTTGGGTGCCAGTCCACATGGCTGATTCGATGGTAGAAGAATGATAAACACTGAAGTAAGGCCACCAGTCTCTACTAGCTGAGAGTTCTACTAAGGAGAGCATTCAGTTGTGAAAAGACTGAATGATTTAGTGTGCAGTGAGTATTGTCTTGTCTTCCAGCTGATTTACTAACAAAGAAACATTTACGCAAACTTACCTATAAATTAAAAAAGTAAATGCAAAATAACAAACAGAAAACACATTTTACGATCAAAGACTTTATCAGCAGACATAATAGCACGAATGCTTTACTACAGAAACGATGCAACAACAAAATAATAATATTGGCAGAAATGTGGTAACATCATACACACACCTATTCCTGATCATAAATGACTACACACAATATTCAGTCTACAGATACTGAATGAAGCAATTCTGAGCAAAATAACACGAGCTTGGCCCAGTGTTATATCTGTGTTCCTTTGATCCCTTCTGTTGAGTTTATCGTCTTAATAATGTGCGCCACTGACTGTAAGTTATTGCCACATTATAGTCTGTTTGACTTGTTGCAATTGTCTCTTTTACTTTGTTGTCAAATTAAGAAAAACGAAATCACTTTATCTTTGTTCAGTGTCGTCGCTCAATGTGCAAGTGAATCTTGTTAAATAAAGTCGTAATTCAAATATTTACTTGTCACACGTTTTTCCTGTTAAACAAAACAAAACTATCAATACTGCCAGTGTATAAGGCATTATTAAGACAGCGAAGGTAGAGTCAGTGGCGTAGCAAGGTCAAGCTGTACCCGATGCGGATGGTTTCCTGTCGCCTCCTTCCCTCATCCTTTTCTTTCGTCCCTACTCTGATAGTGTTAAAATAACGAAAAATTACGTGCATCTTTTTGCTGGTTTATTCACTCAATAAGCACTTCATTTTGCAGGGAATATTTTGTGTCGGCGTTGATTCTGATATAGGCACGTGGTCGGCAAATTTGTATTCTGTGCTTCATGGTTGGAAACCAAGAAAGTGGCGCATCACCCTACATGCTATATATCTTGTACATCCAAGTATAATTCACATAGCCTCGTTCTGTATTTTCCAGCCCCTGCAACTGCTTATGACTGAGAGTTAGGATGGGCAATAAATACAATA